GCATGTCTTGTGGGTCTGATGAACTGTAGATACCCTGCCTCATCCCTCATATATGAGCATGAAGGCTTCTTTGTAGCTGTTGACTTTTTTTGCCTATGTGGAAAGTTCATATCATCTGGTTATGATGGAAGTGAGCTGAATTGCTCAGGTGGCTGTATCCTCCAAACCTCAGGGTCTGGCCTTTCAGTTCTGCAGCCTTAATGTTATCTCCTTGCTTGGAGCTATTAGTCCTTGGGCGTCCCATGCTCCATTGTGTGAACTCACAAGATGTAGTGACCCCAGAAATTAATGCGATTTCTATAGGCAGCACAATTGCATGGTGGATGAGGAAGGTTTGGTGATAGGGAGCTCATTCACTATTGAGCAACAAGTGTATGTGTTTACCGTGTTAGCCAACAAATATGAAGTACCTACTGTGTGCCACTTGTGTGATACACTAGGGATAGAAAGTGGTGCAGGACAGATTCCTAAGACCATAAAGTCCCAGCCCTCAAGGAACTTGATGGCAAGGTCAGAGTCTATGTAAGGTAACACCAAGAACAAACTTGAACTCTATACTCAGTCCCAGGGTTGGGTTCTTGCTTGCCTCTTAACCTCCACAAGCCTCAGTTTTTCATCTGCAATATGGGGATAATAACTGATCCCTCATAACAACTGCTATGAAGCAATTAGGAAAATACATGTAACGAGAGGTTATTATTATTTCCATATTACCATGTGATGATCTTACGATTTTATAAAAGTGCATGCTCATTGAAAACAATACAAAAACAAAACTTTACATACCTTTTCTCAAGATAAAAGTCTCTGAAACATGACTTTACTGGATGGAGTAATTATAATTATAAATACATGTCTAGGGAGACTGGATGAAAGAGGTGAAGGGATTAAGAAGCACAAATTGGTAGTTACAAAATAGCCATGGGAATGTAAAGTACAGTATAGGGAATGTAGTCAATATTGCGATAGCTATGTGTGGTGCCGGCGGATACTGGAAATATCAAGGGGAGCACTTTGTAAAGTATATGATTGTCTAACCATTATGCTGGACACCTGAAACCCATACAAAATAATACTAAAAGTAAACTGTAATTGAAAAATAAAAATAGCCCTGGCCGGGTAGCTCAGCTGGTTAGAGTGTCATGCCAATATGCCAACGTTACAGGTTTGATCCCAGGTCAGGGCACAATGAATGCATCAATGTGAAGAGCAAATTGATGTTTCTCTCTCTCTCTTTCTCTGTCTCTGTCTCTCCCCCTTCCACACCCTCTCTAAAATCAATTAAAAATAAAAAAAATAAAATAAAAATGCGAAAAAGAAAATATTTCCACATATATGCCACTATCCAGGGCTTCAGTATCACCAGAAAGATGAGCAAATGGAAGATGCTCCTGAGGAGCTGGGTGCAGGCCACACTGTCCCTGGGAAAGTATTCATAAACAGGTTGAGGGGGAAGAGAGGGGTCCCTGGGATGTAAGAGCCCACTGTTAGGATGAGAATGACACCTTAATTTCTCCATGTATTCAGTAATTTAAAAGCCTACAAGCCAAGTCTGTGCCTGACTCTCATCTTAAAGCAGACTTAGGTTCTGGGAGCTTAAAGGACATGCCCAAAATCACATGCTGGTTAAAGGCTGAACTATTCCTGGATTAGGTGTTGGAAATGGGCCCTTCAGAAGGGAAGCATCCAGAAAGGCAGTCAAGGGGAACCTCAGTGAGTGCAAGGCTCGGAGCGACTAGGGAAGGTTCTAAGGAGGTGGAAGTTCTTTTATTCGACTAACTGGCCTTATGTTAAGTTGTAAGGATACTAAAATTAATCAGACTTGTTACCTGCCCTCCAGACAATCACAACACAAATAAATGACATTACAATGTGGTGCCTTCCAGACAAGCAGGGAACAGACAATACAACGTGGGGTAGAGATGGAGGAATGCATAGGCTTATGAAAGCACCGAGAAGCCATTAAATTAGTCTGAGGTAATGGGGGAAGGGCAGTTTCCAAAGACTTCTGAGAGAGCCGAGGTATAGGGGAAACAGAGTCAGTCAGGCTCCCTCACTGGGCCCAATAAGCAGCATTCCCTTAGCCTTGAGTGGGCCCACATGCGCAGAATCACACTCTGTTATACCGTATCTTGGCACCCTGCTGGCTTTGTGTGCATTTTGTACATAAGGGAGTTTGGCAGGCGCGACTTGCGGCTTGTGGCACGGGTGGATTGCCCCACCCTGGAATAAAGGCATGTCAGACATCCCCACGGCTCTGCGTATATTCTTCTGTCTCCCTGAATCCCATGGGAACCTGTGCAGCCTTGAATGGTTGCAAGATGGCCATGTGACCAGGGACAGGAGCTGGAGTATTTCCAGTGACAAACGGAGTGGGACAGTCCCCTAGAGGGTCCCTGGATGGCTCCCCTGCAGTTTCTCCTCCACTGGGCCCAAGCAAGGAAACACTCACCTCTAGGGATAGGAACACACCCTCAGGCAGGACAGTAGCTTCTAAGTAACATTCAAAATCAAGGCAGAAGAGCACAGTTGTAATAGTTTCCAAACTTTGGTATCAGAATCACCTGAGAGATAATAAAGAACAGAGAGCCTGTTAAAGCAGGATAGGACCTTGGTAGATACTCCCAGATTCCAGGTGATTCTGGTATCTGCCACAGCTTGAGAACTTATGAACCTGAGTTCTTTGAACCTGGAGTCCATGGGTTTGAATCCTAGCTCAGTTGTGCACCTCCTAAGTGACCTTGGCAATTATGTAGATTCCCTATTGGTAATCTGAAAGTTATGGTAGTACCTATTCTCATAGAACTGCTGGGAGGGTGAAATGGGTTATTACTACACCTCTGAGGACAGTGTCTGAATTATAATGAGCACCCCATGAATGTTTGCCATTATTATCAAATATTTCAGCTGTGTCAGAAGGGTGCCATTAAGGAAGAAAAAAATAGTAGAAGAGAGGATTAGAGGTTAAAACAGGGTATTCAGTAAGAAGTTTAGCTGAGATTTTTTACAAAAACAAACAAAAGAAACCCTGCTACTCAATTAGCTAGCATAATTTACAAGTCAGTAAGCAGTCTGAAATGTTTAAATGTGAAAAAGCTGAGTTCACTTGCTGCAGTGACAGCATCTATAATGAAAGCAGAAGGACAAGTTATGTCAGTTTGTTAGATAGAAAGCTGGTATGCTCAGCTCCCCTGGCTTCCTTCTTAACCTGTCAGATTGATCCTGGGATGTGATGGAGGAATGACGGTTTCCATACTGGTACCCTGGTTGTGGCCTGTCTGTGCAATACTTGAAAGAACTTAAAGAAGAAAACAGAGAGCCCGTTATCAGGGCACAGGTACCAGTTAAGAACATATACAAGGTATACCTGGCTGAATCTCTAGAAACTCACAATACTGTATTTCTGGTGTATTAAGGCGAGCTTAGTATAGTGAACTTGAAACTGCAGGGGGACAAAATGGAGACTGGTTAACAGAGGTTAACGGTGTTAGACATGGGCAAGAGGACTCCTGGAGGGACTTGTCTTGGCCCTCCTCCTGCCATGCCCCTCTCCAGGAGGCAGACCTGGCAGGATGAGGGAAATGTGACCACTTTGAGCTTGTGTTGCCACTTCACCCACTAGACCCTGGTCCAGGTACCCAAGACCTTGGAATCCCTGCCCCAGCAGACCCAAACCTGCTTCCAGGGCCTGTGCGAGCCTCCCCTACATCCATTTCTACAAAGGCAGCGCTGCCATGGTGCATTAAGTGGTGGGCGGCTTCAGGGATCTGATGGCACTTGGGAGGTGTAGGCTGGGGTATCCCTTGCAATGTGGGAAAGAAGCATGTAGGAAGAAAAGGGAAACAGGCCTTGACCATAGGATGGCCTGCTTTGACACCATATTGTGGCAGACCTGAGTTTGAGAATTCTAAATTCAACCTTGGCCTTCCAGGATGGCCTTCCAGTACCTATCAAAACAGAATACAGTATCCTTGAGCTGAGATTGATTTATAACTTTTAGATATTAAGATGTGGCATATGGGCCTCCACTTATATTCTTGCCTCTGGAGATGAGCCTGGTAGTTAAAGATATGTACCTTAGTACCAGACAGACCTAAATTTAACTCTCTGGTCATGCCATTTATTGGTTATGTGCCTTGGACAATGTACTAATAATACTAATGTTAAGGCTTTTTTGGTTGCAAGTCTGAGTATCTAGATTCAAATTGACTTAATCATAAACAGGAACTTATTGGCATTTGTAACTGACAAGTCTAGTGGTGGAAAGCTCAGGCTTGCCTGGATCTGCCAGTCTAAACAGCATCCTCAGCATGTGACCTTTGGACCTACTTTCCCATGTTAGCTTCATTCTCAGGCAGGACTACACATAACAAGCTCACATCTCACTTACTAAGCAATCCCAGCAGAAAATGAAAGATATTTTCACTTTTCTAAAGTTCTGGCAAAGTCCAGGGATCTGCTGATTGGTTATATGCCCACTATGGAGCATTTAGGTCTATCCTGTAGAAATCATATGGATCAAGAGTCAGGGGAGTGATAGTTCACCAAATAAAAACATATGGTTACTGGGAGAATGGCTGAGGCAAAACCAGTAGCAGTTTGGTAAGAATTGAACGCTTAGCACTCAGTGTCGGGTTGAGTGCTAAATGGACTCAAATTGAGTTTGTATGCTGAATAAAAAGCAAGTAGAAACCACACTCATTTTCCAACTGCCCTGAGCTCTGCAAGTAGGTAGCCTGAAATGAAGACTTGGAAATGCAGTCATAATATCAGAAGACATTCACAATTGTGTATGAATCATGCGTTCAGTTGCTGTGGCTGCTTCTGCAACGCCAACCTGTGCTCATCCATGGGCTTCCAGCTGAAGAGCTGTGGGCTGAAACCAGCTGTGCACACAAGACCCATATTTTTAGAATTTTGTAGAGGAGTACATGAATCCCCAAATTATTAAGTTCCTAGATATGAGGCCAATTTGGGACACCGTTGGCTCTATCTAGCACTATATGAAATAACCTACCATCACTGATAACTCATCACATTAGTATGTGCTTCCTCCTTATCTCCTATGATCTCTAATTAAAGAACAATCATTTAAATATGAATGTTATTACCTTGATGAACACTGTGGTTTAAATATTTTTTGATAATTGATAAAATAGGCTACATACCACCATTTTTAATATTTCCCCAACTTTTTATTTTGAAAAATTGCAAACTCACAGAAGTTGAAATAGTAATATTAAAATATTATGCTGCCTTCATACACAGGATTTTTGATGAAAATAACACAGCAGCCTCTGTTCTATGTTAATATCCAGATATCTTCCCTACACTTGCGAGAGAAGCAGGCTCACTTTTAGTGAAAGGAACTTTCTGTCCTCACAGTCTCTGTAGTGACTTTTTTTGTAATGCTCTCACTCAGCCGTCAGAAACACAGGACAGTATTTATTCACATTTTACAGATGAGTAAACAAACTCAGGGCAGTCGAATGGTCTATCTGCTCAAGGTCTCAAATCAGTCAGTGAACCTCTTGAAATCAGCAGTGATGTAGCTGAAACCAAAACTGAAGACCTGTGACTTCAGTAACTCAACATTCTATGGTCACTTCACAATGAGTAAGGCCAGTGCCAAGCAGATATACAAGGAAGAGTTTTAGTCCCATTCTCCTGACAATCAGAAAGCTAATATTCACCAGTACCCATGTGCATAGCATTACCATGGCATCAATCATAAATCTGTTATTAGAAACATGAAACAACAGTGGACAGCAAGAGTAGGAGGATACTCACAGAGGGTAGTGAAATTTCTGTCAAATGACATGGCTTGAGTTCATTTATTGAGGGCTTTTTCTGTCCCAGGTACTGTGCTTGGAATACAGAGCAAATCAGAAAGATAAGGATTCTGCCTCTGTGGTATTCACATTCCAGTGGGTTAATGAACAATCAAGAAGATGCCAATTAAGAGACTGGTAGGCTGCATCTGGTCCACATTAGTGTTTTGTTTGGTCCACACAGTGCTTACTTTTTTTATTTTTATAACAAATTGCCAACTTCTAGCTTCTCTGAAACAGGCAACTTCTGCTGGATCCTGAATAATAAGTAGCAGCCACTCCTGCCCCTTTCCCAGGGCACATGCCCTCTAGAGAACACTTCCATCCCTACCACTTCCTACTGTCTTACACCTAGAAGACACATAATTCATGCATTTACATTACCCATTTGATATCCATAAGCATTTAAACTGAAACCCCCGAAGCAAACATATCCAAACAAGATAATTTCAGATAGCACTAAGATGTACAAAATAAATAAAATGCACCAATATGATGGACGTGATGTGATTGGTGGAGAGGGCTACTTCAGTTTGGGTGGTGAGGGAGGGTTTTTCTGAGGTGTAATTGAAACTGAGACCTGAATTATGAAAAGCATGACAAGTCAGCCAAGAGAAAAGAAAACTGCTTCTAAGCAGAGGGAACAGCATAGGCCCAAGCCCCCCTTGAGGCTGGAAATAACTTGGCTTGGTTGAGGAACAGCAAGGCTGGGGTGGTTGGGAGAATGGTAAAAAGAACACACAAGGAAGAAGCAACCAAATTACATGCGACGCCATGGGCCATGGTGAGAATTTTGGATTTTATTCCAAGTGTGATGGGAAGCCTGTGGGGGGGTTTTAACGAGGGACAATGTGATCTTGTTGACCTTTTCAAAAGATCATTCTGCTATGTGGAAAAGTGACTTAATGAGGCAAGAAGCGAAGCAGGGAGACCAACAGGGAAGCTATATTATCCAGTAGATGACAATGGCTAGGACTAGCATGGTAAAAGAAAAGATGGGAGAGAAGTAGCACATTCAGGATATAATATAATCTGGAGTATAACCAAAATCTTTTGCTGAAGTGGATGGTAGCAGTGGTAGTGAGACAGAGGAAGTAATAAAAGGGAGTAATTAAGGATAACTCCAAGGCTATGGCTTGTTCAAACATTTATGTGAATTGGGGGTGAATGAGGGAGGTCCCACCCAGTTTTAAGGAAAGGAAATAAGAATCTGATTTTGGATGAATCGAAACTTGAGTCTTCCTAGATTCCTCATTTCCTTTACCTCCCACATCCAAGCAGTCCTCCAATCCAAAAATTCAAACTGCTAAATACCTAATCTAGCCCTTCAACTTCATCTTCACATCCATTGCCTCTGTCCTGGTTCAATCCTCTTATCGTGACTTTTACATGAGTCTTCTACAGCTATGAATAAACTAACAAAAAACACTTAACATTAACTATTAAGCACTTAATAGACAAGTGTACCACTCTCCCACCAGCCATCTTTGATGGCAGAGATCATGTCTTAATTCCTACTTATCTCCAGTGCCTTGAGCTGTGCTGAGCAGAGTAGGTACTTAATGGACTAAAAACAGGTCCCCTCCAACAGGATATAACCTTCTGAAAAAGAAGACTTCATTTTGGGACTCTATGGTTCTTCCATACAACTTAAAGCAGTGCCAGATAGGAAACGTATGATCCCAGAAACTTCACCTTCCCAATGGATGGGTTTTTTCCTAATTTAGTTTCAAACTACAGTGTTCAAGACCCTCTTCTGCCCAGTAGTTAATAAATGATATTGGTCAACAGATAACATATATTACTGTTCTTTTCTACTTTTCTTTCAAATCTAGGGACTTTTTACACTCATATCCCCATGACATCTGTGTGAAGAGGTCAAAAGATTTTAGTCCATTTTATGAATAAGAAAACTGAGGCACAGAATGAAATCCCTTACTTTTTGATTGTGTTAGCTACTTTGCCTGAATTAAGACTAGAATTTCGCTGACCCACACCACAGATATGTATTTGTAAGACATCCCAATCTCCCATCCCTGCGACACTGCTGGTTAGTACTTGAGCATAGATTTTGCCTCCTAAAATTACAACTTCCCCTAAACTTCCTTGGGTGTCAGGATGTGCAGCACAATTACAAACTTCTTTGGGAGTCAGGATGTGCTGCCACAAGGTCAAAGACCATGTTCCCTGCCTCTTCTATTTACCACTCTCCTCAGTGCCCAGTAAAGACAGATTCCACTCCTTGGGCCCAGGAAAAAGCACCTTGGTCATTACCCTGGGAGGTCAAGTAAGGCCAGAAATCACAACAAGCAAGAAGAGAAATCTAAATATGTAAGAACAGTTTCAACAGGAAAAGGAAGGGGGTCACCATTAAAAAAAAAATCAGGATATTCCTTTCAAAAGGTTTCCAGCTGGAGAGTGGCTGGGAAGAAAAGTGGCAGCAGTGGTGGCAGCAGTGGGCCAGATCCTTCCTGCTACATCCTCCTAGAGTCATTTCTTCAAGGCACCCAGGTTCTTCAGGGCTTCCTGGGCCTGGGCCAGCTGCTGTTGCAGCCTCTGGCGGGTGCTCTCATTGGAGGCCCGCTTCAGGAGGCCCTGCATTTCCTCTACCACTGCCCGGTAGCCAGGGGTATTATGGAACAGCCGCACTGCCCGGTCCCCACAGGAGGCCAGAAGCCGGCCAGTGATATCAAAGGACAAGTCAGTGATATACTCTCCATGGACCTGCTCAAAGCATTCCTCCTTCTCACCCCGCCGGGTATTGTAGAGATGAATACTGCTGCCACCGGCCAAGGCCAGGACCTGGGCGTCAGGGGAAAGTGCCAGGCGGCATGGTATGGTGCTTGCCTCTTCAAAGCGACCTGTCCTCAGCAAGTAGGGGTCCTGCTGCTTCTTGTATTCCACATCTGTGTCCCACAGTTTCCATGTACCATCCTTGGAGACAGAGGCCATCCTGCAGCGTGGAAAATCACAGCTCTAGCACCAACACACCCTAGGGGAGAGGGGCACTGGGACAGCACCAAGGGCTCCAACTAGGAAGCCACTGCTGTCTACTTCCTGCTGAGGGTCAGTGAGGGTCAGGCCCCCCACGCCCACCCCCTGTTCAGGGCTGCTGCAGAGACAGGGAGAAAGAAGTCCCTGGTTGCCAAGAGGGGCTGAGGGCCACTGGTAAGAAATCAGAGAATTCACTCACCTTCGGGAGTCATTGGAGAAGGCAAAGAAGTGGACAGCTGCCGAGTGGCCCTTCAGTTCAAAGGCTCGTATGACTTCTTGGAAGTCACCTTTTTTCCCAAAGCAGACTTCCCAAACTTTGACATCTGGGGTGAAGCCACACGAGGCCACAAACCTGCCATACAACCCGGGTTCCTTTAAAACTTAATTTAAAGGGCATCTTGTTTCTGCAAACTCATTAAGCCTCTTCCTTGAGAAATTTAATCTTATATCTAAATGATATTATTTTTTAAAGTGCTTTTATACACATGATCTCGGTTCATCCACAAAGCCATGCTATAACATATGTAGTATCCCAGCTCAACCTTTTAAGAACTATAGATGAAGAAATAGAGACTAAGGACTTAAATCTAGGTGTCCTGATTCCACCCTGTATGCTCTTTCCACCATCTGTAGCTGGTTCACTGCTTTGTCCCTAGCCCCCAGCCCCAGCCTCTACCCATGCCAGATGCCAAAGTCCCTCCTTCCTCACCTGCTACAAGGGGATATAGCAGCATGCGTATTGTTCATCTGGTTGGTGTTAATGGTAGACAACACCTGACCTTTCAGATTCCAAATGAGGATAATTGTGTCACTGGAAGCAGTCATGATGAACTTTCCTAAGGAATGAGGGAAGTGACATAAGCTGAAGTCAATTACCTGACCAACTGTCAGTCTTCACTGAGATACTTATGGAGGCCTCTGCTGCTCCAAGTATCCAAGCTCCCCTCCCTGGACAAAGTTCAAAGCAGATAAAGACTTTGCTAAAGCCCTGATTGGTGTGGCTCACTGTGTCGGGCATCATTCCGCAAACTAAAAGTTTGTCAGTTCAATTCTTGGTCGGGACACAGGCCTGCGTTGTGTGCCATGTCCTTGGTTGGGGGTGTACGAGAGGCAACTGATCAATGTTTATCTTGTGCATTGATGTTTCTCTCCCTCTGTCCCTTTCCCTTTCTTTAAAAATACCATATTTTGCTGTGTATAATGTGCACCCACATTTTAGTACTAATTTCTATGTATAATGCACACCCTTATTTTCCCTCAAAAATTTGGGCAAAAAAAAGTGAGCAATATACACAGCAAAATATGGTACATAAATAAAACCTTAAAAAAAAAAGGACTTTGCTAATGAATGTGGCTCTTACCTGCCTTACCTGGGGATGTACTATAGCTCCCAGATTCCAGGGAAACACAGAGCCAGAGCCCCTTTATCATGCTGAGGCTGAGCATAATGCTGAGAGGCAGCATTAACTCATTCAGCATTTATAACTATAGCCATTCCCTCCTGCCTTGGGCAAGCTGCACCCTGTGAATGCCCCTCACCTGTGTCAGCAATGCCAATGTTGATGACAGGTGCCTTGTGCTTCTTAGGAAAGTCCTCTGGGGTGGCTGTGAAGGTATATCCGCCATCCTCTCGCTTGGTCATCTTGAAGACACGGAGGGTTTCTCCACTGGCCAGCCAGACAAGGAAGGCTCTAAAGATGGGGAGCAGTGAAGTCAGTCACTCACTCATTTGGACATGGAGGCCCATGTGAGCGAAGTTCTATGCTACAAGATTCTAAGGAAAATCAAAATCTCCCCTCACGCCCTATAGTCCAGTATTATAACTTAACCCCTTGGTTCAAAATCTAAAACTCCCCACTAGATAGAACTCTTAATAGTTTTTGCTCCTTTGGTTTCTTTCTAGGGCTTAGAAAATCATATAGCTTCCAAGACTAATCTGGAAGCCAGACTTTAGTACTTCCCTAGTTGCTTCCTTGCTATATAAATGCATATATAATTTGCTATAAAACTGCTCTAGGGAGCCCCAGGCAGTGCTCTATCTGTCTGGATGCTGTCTTTCTGCTGCTCAAAAGGAGATCCTGAGTGCCCCCCTCACTATCCCAAACCAGGCATGGGAAGGCTATAAGCCTGGGGCAGGGCTTCTGCAGGTAAACCTGAAGCTCCCTCCTGTCCCACCTGCAGTCAGGGCTGAAGCGCACCAGCGTGGCATGATCCAGCTCCACATTGGCTCTCATGCTGCGGTGCTCCCGCTGCAGGAAGTCCTTTGTGCTCCAGATGCGGACAGTTCGATCATCTGCACAGGTGGCCAGGTATTTGCCATTGCTGCTAAAGTCCATGCAAGATATGCTCCCACTGTGGCTCTAGGGGGAAAGGTTGCATGTGTGAACAGGATACCCTTAGGCACATGGGGAACCCCAATGTGTAGCCATGACCTCAGGGCCCTGTTGCCTGAATTAACAGCAAGATGCTGATGGGATGTAATGAGAAGGGATAGAATGGGACATCCAGGTTGACTTTGGTCAGAGACCAAGGGGTCTGTAATATGCAAAGAATACTATAGAGGAAAAGTTTGTGTGGGGGCATGAGTCTTTGCATGATATTTTGTGTATGGTACCCATGTATGTACCTTCAGGGCTGCAGCCAGGAGGCGGTGGGTGAAGTTGTGTTGTTGAGGCTTCTCCTTGCGAATACGCTGTTGCTGTTTCTGTTTCTTCAATTTCAAGGACTTGTCAAGTGGCAAGCCATTTGCTTTATGGCCTATAAGGAAGGGCCATATCATCCATCCATTTCATTACTCACTCAGTAAGCATTTACTGACCCCCTATAGTTGGCCTAGGTGCCAAAAGAGATGACCAGATATGGACCCTGTTCTCAACAAGAGAGTGATACAGGCAAAAACAGAGGCTTTGGAATCAGACTTAGGTTTGGACTGTGATCTTGAGGAGGCTGCCTGCTGTTAGTACATATAGTACCCCACTGCAAATTAGAAAAGGCGCCCTGTCTGGGCTGGTACAGCTCAGTGGGTACACAGCATGGCCAGAGGAGTGCAGGTCCTCGACCAGACATCCCTACATAGAGAATACTGTGCACAATTGAACCTGGCAGCCCCAATCTTGAGTAAGTTACTCAACTGCTTTGGGCCTTGGTTTCCTTAAAGTTGTGAGAATTTGATAATACATACAAAATGACAAGTAGAATACCCAAAACAAGCATTAAAGGCTCAAAGGACTCAGAGAAAACTGAGGATGAGAGGCAGTTAACATGCATTGAGTTACCCTGCACCAGAAATGGTACAGATCACTTTTGCATAAAATTGCTAATTTAATTGAGAATCAGACCAGGCACAAAGTCAGCATGTGTTAGATCACTGCAGACACTCCTCAATTCCTACAGGAAAAAAAAAACTCCTGAGTTCCAAGTGCAAAGATGGCCACAATCTGCCCTCTGCTTACCTCTCCAGCTTTGTCTAACGACCCCCACTACTCTACCCTACCCCGCGCCTTGTCTCTCACCTCCCACTAAAGTCATACCAAATGATGTTGAGGTCTCCTTGCCTTGTTCATTTTGCCTTTGCCAGGAACGTTTTTCCTTTCTTGGCCTCCTGGCAAACTCTTACGTATCTATGCTCTAAGACATGTCACGTGTGGCCTACGATCAGTGAAGATTTCCTTGACACCCACCTCACCACCACCAAAAAAGCAGGCCTGATCACTCCCACTTTTGGGTTTCCTGTTTCTAGTACTGACCTCTTCGAGGAAACATACTACACTATATTTTTCCCTTACATTTTTAGATGTTCTTCTCCATTACCCCAGAGTGGACTCCCTAAAGGAAAAGGTCCCAAAGCCTATTGAGGTAGTAGGTACACAATAAATCAGGGAGCTAAGTCAGGGTGCTTACAAGTGAATGTCGGCCCGCTCCCTCATCTCCCCGCCCATTTTCATAGAATAACGAACAAACTGCGCGTTTGGGAGTTTAGAAGCGGCCTCGCAGCAACCCCGAGGACAAGCTGAGACTCAAAAGGCAAAAGTGGCACCAAGAAAGCCGCAGCGTTGGACCCGGGTTCTAACTAGTCTTCCCGAAGGGGCGCAACCCGCCGGGCCAGGCGGCATCTCTTGTCGAAAAGCAAAGTTCATTCCCCAAGAGGAGAAACTGAGGACCCGAGGGACCCGACACCCCCGCGGGCCCAGACCGCCCGTCGGACCACTGGGAGGTAGGAAGCGAGGTCCCGGTGGGTTACCCCTGCCCGCCACGGTCCCACTAACCGGCGGACCGGTTGCATATCTCCTCCTCTGCGCGTAGCCACCCCCGCGCTACCGCCGCCGTCGCCACCAGGGCCAGCAGCCCGAGCAACAATGACAGTCCCATCAGCTCCGGCATCTGCGGTAGTTCCATGCTGGCTGAGATGTTGCCACCTCAGCCTCAGGCTACGCGGGCGTCTGCACGTTGTGGCGGAGCCGCGCACGCACGTGGGGCGGAGCCTGACCGTTAAAGCCTCTTGAGGGGCGGGTCCTGACCATTGGAGAGCCCGAGGGGCGGGGCCTGGGGAAAGTTTTCTGAGCTTCAGGAAATTCAGACGGGTGTTTACTACTAATGGAGAAGAGAAAGTATAGTCCTGGAGTTAGAGTGTGGAACAGCCTCAGAAAAGAAGGAGGAATGCTGATCTGGTTGGTGTGGTTCGCTGGGTTCAGTGCGGGCCTGTGAACCAAAGAGTCACCTGTTCTCTTCGGGGTCTGGGCACAGGCCTGCGTGTCGGCCAGGTCCCCATTTGGGGGCGTGCGAGAGGCAACCACACATCAGTGTTTCTTTCCCTCTCATCTCCTTCCTTTCTCTCTAGAAAGCCAGGAGGTGTTCTTTTGGATCCAAGAGGGAGTTGATAAGGGCCTGGACTTAAGGGTGGCGGCGGGGGTGGGGGGTGGGGAGTAGAGTGGAAGTTGAAAAGGTGATTTTTTTTAATTTAGACTTTTCGTATTTTGAAGTAATTGAAGATTCACAGGGAGTTGGAAAAATGAACGGGAAGGTTCCATGTACCCTTCACCCAGTTTCCCCCAATGGTAACGTCTTACATAAATATACTGCATAGCAAAACCAGGAAATTGGCATTGATACAATCTGTAGAGCTTATTCATACTTCCATCACAAAGGATGATATTCTGAAATACTAACAATTTGAACTAGACCGGTTTGGCTGGAGAGGGAATAGTTCCAGAACAGGCAGGGTCTGTGGGCCTCTCAGCCCTGAAACTACATTAAATGAAAGTACCAGGGTCAGAGATTCATGATTCAAATATTTCCTTGCCCACTGAGGAGCCTCTCCTTACAGTAGGGAGCCTCTTCTGGTAGTGTGGACCCTCTGGTCTTTAGAAAGTCCTCCTGAAGGGAGAGGCTGCTGCTGGAGACTAGATGACAGACAGACACACCCACACCCACAGCCTTGGTGAGGAAGCAGATCTAGTCAGAGAGCATATGGAGCTGCCTCATTTCCTTCCCTTTCGTCCTTCGTGTGTGTATATGTGTGTGCACTGGCATCAGCTGAGCTGTGGGCAGTGGGGTAGGGAGTGTTGGAGGGAGAGTCCAGAGCATCCTAGGGGGGGGTTTAATTTGCTTTTTTAAAAAATTATTTTCTATTTATTAACTTTAAAGAGAGAGAGAAAGCGGGGGGGGGGGCGGGAGAGAAAGACAGAGAAACATTGATTTGTTGTTCCATTTATTTATGCATTCATTGGCTGTTTCTTGTGTTTACCCTGACTGGGGCTCAAACCCACAACCTTGGTGTATCAGGATGATGCTCTAACCAACCAACGTTAATTTGCTTTTTAGAACTGTGGGCCCAGCCAAGAGCCACTTTCTCCACCACCTAGATACAAAGCTGTACTTTTAAGAAGAAATTCATTTATTAAACATTTTGCATGTGACTTTTTTTTTTTTTTTTTTTGAGAAAGGGGAAAGGAGGGAGAAAGAGAGGGAGAAAAACATCAATGCACACATGAGAGATAAATGAACTGGTTGCCTCTTGCAAGCCGCAAACACCAGGTCTGGGCCAAAATAACCCACAATATTAAATCTAAAGCATGTGCCATGACTGGGAATCAACCAGGATTTGAACTAGTGACCTTTTGGTTCACAGGCCAGTACTCAATCCACTAAGTCACACCAGCCAGGGTATGAAATTTTTTTTAAAGATGTTCATCTTTAGAGATAGGGGAAAGTAGGGAGAAAGAGAGGGAGAGAAACATCAATGTGTGAGAGATACATCAATCAGTTGCCTCTTGAACATCCCCGACTGGGGACCTGGTCTGCAATCCAGGCACATGCCCTGACTGGGAATCGAACTGGTGACCTTTCTGTTTGCAGGCTAGCACTCAATCCACTGAGCATACCAGCCAAGGCTGCATGACATTTCTTGATCCAAGAGCTTTGCATTTCACTTAATCTTCTCACATTACCATCCCACAGGTTAGAAGACTGATGCTCGTTAAGTGACTTCTTGGAGATCACACAGGTAAAGAGTGAACCTGGGTACACACACAGGTCTATGACTCCAATCTATTGATGTGGAAGACAGAAGCAAGAGTAAGGGTCATCTGAGTACAGCCCAGTCAAGGATATTTTTTCACATCATGAGTTCAGTTGATCTTTATAGACCTTTAAGATGCTATGAAATAACGTTAAACAGGTGAAAAAAAACTAGGCTCAGGTCAAGTAACTTACCCAAGGTCAACAAGGAAGCCAGGGGTAGAGCCCAGAGTCCAACTTGGGTATGCAACACTCCTAATCCCTACTCCTTCCACCACACCACTGGGCTGTGGTAAATAAGGTCTTGCTCCATCCTCAAGCCCAGATAGAAGCCAAGGCCAACATTCGGAAGTATAACTGATGTCACAAAGCGGGATTTGGCAAAGCTGAGCAGATCAGGGAGGGAGATCTGTCATTGGATTTGGAGGGGCAGCAAGACCTGACTATACCTTCAGAGGTGGGCATTTAGACATATGAAGCATAGTCCAGGAGGGAACTCTAGGTGGAAAGCAAGGCATGAGCAAAGGTGTGGAGCAGGGTGACCAACCTGTGGCCCGTGGGCCGTATGCAGCCCAGGATGGCTATGAATGCGGCCCAATAAAATCGTAAATTTACTTAAAACATTAGCTTTATTACTTAGATATGTACATTTTCTGTATTAGTGATCGCAAATTGGGACCTGCTTGATGACTTTAAAAGATTATTGAAAGGGCTGCTGCATAATTAGGGTTATTATGTGAGGACTTTTCTGCTTATCTGTGATGGCAGATATCATAAAAATTGTACACAGACCTTTTTTTTGCTCATTAGTTTTCGTTAGTGTTTGTGTATTTCATGTGTGGCCCAAAACAACTCTTCTTCTTCTAGTGTGGCCCAGAGACACCAAAAGGTTGGACACCCCAGTGTAGAGGAAGAAGTAACTGATTCCTGTGTAGAAGGAAGTGACTGTGATGGCCTGTCTGAGTGAGTGTTGCAGATGCGGTCAGAGGAAAGGACTCGGTAGGAAGAGGCATGGATAGAGAGACAGCAAAGTCTAGGTCTCCTTATGACCCAGCAATTCCACTTCTGGGGGTTTACCTGAAGAAACCCACAATATTAAATCTAAAGAATATATACACCCCTATGTTCATTGCAGTGTTATTTGTAATAGCCAAGCTATGGAAGCAACCCAAGTGCCCATCAATAGACAAGTGGATAAAAAATCTGTGGTGCATGTGTACAATAAAATATTACTCAGCCATAAAAAAAAAAAAAAAGAATAAAATCTTACCATTTGTGACAGCATGGATGGCCCTAGAAGGTATTATGCTCACTGAAATAAGTCAGTCAGAGAAAGACAAATACCATTAGTTTCACTGATGTATGGAATCTAAAAAGACAAAATAAACAAACAGAATTGAAATAGACTCACAGACACAGAAACTGATGGCTGACCATAGAAACTGATGGTTGCCAGAGGGGAAGGGGATTGGGGGACTAGGTTTTCAAAAGATGGGAGGAGGCTTGGGGGATGGGTGAAAAAGGTGAAGGAACTAAGAAGTACAAATTGGTATTTGCAGAATAGTCATGAGGATGTTAAGTACAGCACAGGGAATATAGTCAATAATATTGTAATAACTATGGTGTCAGATGGGTACTAGATTTATCGAGGTGTTCACTTAGTAAGTTGTATAATGGTCTAATCACCGCGTTACACATCTGAAACTAATATAATATTGTATGTCAACTCGAATTGAAAAATTAAAAAAATCATTAAAAAGAAAAAGTTTAGGCCTGCCTCCTTCATGGTCTGATTAGGTCTTTTAAAGGCAAAGCAGAGTGATGCACCCTAGGAACCACTGGAGTTTCAAGACCCCTTGGAATGTGAACGGAAGGAGGCTGTGGAAAGAAATGAGGCTGCAGGGGTAGCAGGGCCCAGTCACAAAGCACCTCGGACATCTGTTCAAAAACCTGTGCTCATCAGAGGGAAGCAGGAGCCAAAGAAGCAATGGAAGCATAACTTCAGTGTGCAATTGAAGATCTACCTTGCATTGATTGGAGCCTTCCCTACCTCTGGCCTGTGTTAGGTGAAATGATAAATTTCGTGATTGTTTAAACAGTAATTTTCAAAGTTTGGGCCCCAGACACAGCATTATTAGAAATGCAGATTCTTAGACTCCATCCCAGACCTGCTGACTCAGAAACTCTGGAGGTGGGGGCCTGGCAATCTTTATCTTAACGAGCTCACTAAGTGATTCCTGATGCACATTGAGGTTGAAGAACCAGAGTAAACTAACTTGAGCCCCAGACATACATAATTTGTAGCTCAAAGCCTTTATTACAGTGGTTCTTACCTAGGCTGCATATTGGAATCACCTTAAAAGGTGCTGATGTCTAAATTCCACAGCCAAAGATTCTGATTTAATTTGGTTCACACTGGACCTGGTCATGAAGATTTTTAAAAGCTCCCCACGACCCCTGCCCCAGTTATTCAATTGCACATTTAAGTTTGAAAGGCAGCTGTAAGGGACACAGGAAGGAGGCTCATTCAAAAGGCAATGTTCTGTTGGACCAGGGCTGTGGCCTTGGAGATGGACACTTACAATGTCAACTGGCCAGGCCTTGGTAAGAGATACCATAGGGTAGTGGAGTGTGGGGAGGAGGAGAAAAGGCTGACTGTTTGCAGCTCGCGCAAGTGTCTGAATGGTGGCACCTTTCCTGGGGATGTAGAGCACATGGAGAGGACCAGGTTTAAGGGGGAAGACCGTGAGGTACAGTCTCGGGAATGATGAGTTCCGTTTTGACTCCTTCGACCATTCAGGGAGCGGTGGAACATTCAGAAGGAGGGGTCAGGATAGCAGTCAGATATGTGCTTGTGTAGCTCTTGGGGGACAGCAAGACAGACACAAGGTAGAGGGTCCTCAGCAGAGAAGCAGAGGGGATGGCATTGCCTGGAACTTTTCACAGTGAGTGGGAAGTGGGTTAGGGAAAGGAGTGGGTGGAGGAGGAGGTTCCTGCATTAGGAAGGCATTGTCAGGCAGGAGGAAGGAGAGGCTGGCAAAAATTTGGGATTCGAAAAAATGGTTCAGGAAGATGGTCTGAGGGCCTGGGGAAAGACAAGAAGAGCATGCAAAGTGGTCACTGGATTTGGCAATGAGGGAGTCAAGGGACCTGGGTGAAGGAGTCAGTGCAGGGTGAGGCTAGGGTGGAAGGTAGGGGGAGGAGCCCAAAGGCAGGCAGCCGGAGGTGCATGGGAGGGGAGAAGGGAGAGAAAGACAACTCTTTCAAAGGCGGGTGGCATCTAGAAAGGGACACAGAATCAAGGGGATATGTTATGGAGATCTTCCTGGTGGGTTTTGAGTGGGTGAAAACAACATAGTACAAACTGCCAGGATTTTACCTTTCAAAGAGCCACTTCAAACTGTGGTCTGCAGCAGCAAATAGCAGTTAAAGGCTGGGTGCATCTGTCACTGCACAGTAAAGAGAAGTGGCTAAAAGCAGAGACTAGGGTCAGACAGTCTGGGAGGGCACCTCATTAAGCATACAACCTGAGGCTAGTTAACCGCTGTGTGCCTCGATTTTTCATCTGTAGAATGGGGATGATAATGATAACTTTTACATGTATGGTATCCTTTGCCTGGCACTGTTGCGCTTTATATATACAGGATCCTGCAGAAATAAGGCCTGCTTGAGCATGGTTGGTGGGGTAATAATATGGGTGTAATAATTTAGAGTTTTAATTTGAATATTTCACCTAAAATGTCATATGGTATGCTTGAGCGTAATATTGTTATATTACAGAATTACATGCTTATGATTTTGTAATGAAAGATTTTGTAATAAAAGGGGGCGTTATTCATGCTGGACCCTGTATTTACTCTTTTTAAAAATTTTTATTAATTTCAGAGAGAGGAAGGGAGGAAGGGAGAGACAGAGGAAGGGAAGGAGGGAGAAACAGAGGGAGGGAGGGAGAAACAGAGGGGGAGAGAGAGAGAGATTTGTTGTTCTACTTATTGATGCATTCATTGGTTGATTCTTGTATATGCCCTGATTGGAGATCAAACCCTCAATCTTGGTGTATTGGGACGATGCTCTAATTTAGCTACCCAGCCAGGGCTTATATTTATTTACTCTGCAATCCTCACAATAGGCTTGTAAATGTAGGTATTGTAGGTATTAAGCGAATTAATATATATAAAGCACTTAGAAGTGTGCTTGGCATATAGTAAACACTGGATTGTTGTACAGTTATTGTTGTTATTCTACATTAATGAGGAAAGGGCAAAGCTCACAGAAGGCTTATTCATAGCCTGCAAATGCCTCCACAAGTTCTGAGATGTGAGAGGATTCGGACTTGCCAGTCCTGAATGGTCAGCTCCATGAGGAGAGGGGGTACAGCAGTGACGGGAATCCCGAGGGCCAAGACCACTGCCTGGTTCACAGTAGGCACTCAGGGAATATTTGTTAAATGGATCAATGAAAGGATCAATGAAGTATTGGGACCTTTTAGCCCAACTCCGTCTGAAGTATCAGTTCCTCCTAGGACACCCTGCCAAGCGGCCATCCAGGTGGCATGCACGTTTTGCATGGCAGGGCCGTCACTGCCCCTTGCAGCCGCGCGCTCCCCTTCTGGGTGGTTCCCACGAATGGTGCTGTCACTTTCACTCCTCGGTCCCAGCTCTGCCCTCTTCCAACTTGGAAAGCGGCGAGCCTTTTTGAACCGTCTCCTGGCCATGGAGAGAGGATTTCCAGGACATGTGTCATCTCTTGCCTGGAGGACCGCAGCAGTCTAAATCTGGCTGTCGTGCTTCCACCATTGCCCCACGGCGGCCTATTCTTAACTCGGCGCCCAGAAGTTAACATCTAATCTTGTCCCACCTCTCGCCAAAACCCTCCAGTGGCTTTCCAGCTCAGAGGAAAAGCTAAGGTCCTTCCAAGGCCGCCTCCCACGGCCAACCGACTCTCCATCCCAGAGCAAGATATGCGGACAGACGCTGACAGTCCCTGTTGGTTTTTATTTTTATTGGTCAAGAATTCCTTACAAAATCCACACACATGCATCCACACACACACAAGATACCTGCTTTGGTTTGGCCACCCCCCTGCTGTGTGCCCTCCTGGGATCGGAACTTGGCCTCATCTACCCAGGCCTGCAGCCCCCCAGGTTACCAGTGAAAGAACAGAGAGAAAACCTCCTTTTCTGTTTCTCTGCTCAGAAACAGAGGCCCGTGCCCTCCCTTTTGGTGAGCAGGAAGGAGTGACAGGAAAATAGGATTGTCCCGTTCCCTCCTTCAAGCTCCCTGAGTTGCCAGTTTATGCCTCCAAGTGTCACAGCTGCTGAAGCCTTGGGATCATCACCTGGTTGAAACTTCCCACCCCCTATAAAACGGAGGTCCAAAGAGGGAGTATGAGCCCCCTAGGTCACAGTGTGAGCTACTGGCAGAGCAGAGACTGGAACTCAGTTCTTCCTGGCTTCCAGGACGTGGGAAAGAGGCTAGGGTCCTGCTTAACTCTCAGGAAAAGGGACAGCCAGGGCCTGGGGCAGAAGGAAGAACCTATGCACAAGGAAAGTAGCCCCAAGGCAGTTGAGTGAATGGCAGGGTCTGGTCACCACTATAGCGGTTTGCCAAGGGTGCCCTCTGTGACTGCCCGTGTGGCTTGCTCGGCTATACAGCCTGGGTCCGTCAGGATGCTGGTAGATGTGCTCAGCTGGCGGAGGGAGTTCAGAACAGCTAAGAAAAGAGAGAGAGAGACACATCTTGGGCTCAGGGCCCTGCCCTTGGATGCTGAAGACAAAGGGGTAGGGGGAGATGCTAGTTTGCAAGGCTGTCTGTAGGTGTCCTGGTGGCTGGGGAACCACCCAGGGCGCATGGTGGGATGGTCAAAACCCTAGGCTATTTTGAAGGCAGGCTGAACCTGGAGTCTGAGCAGAGTGGAACCCTCTGCTCTGAGGCCTAGACATTCCACTGGGCAGGAGTTGACTCACGTACTTGGCCGGAGAACAGGCAGGGAACAGTATTGATCCAGCCAGGCCAGCGACGTCTGACGAAGGCTCTGCAAGCTTGCCGTGGACACCATCCCATTGAAAGACTCAAACAGAGGCCGGATGAGGATGCTGAACTGGCCCAGGTCAAGGAGCAGGCCTATTGTCCAATCAGTACCCTCACCCGCCTCATATGTAGTAGCCCTTGCATCTGGCCCAAACCGGGGGAAAGGCCTGGAGACTGTGAAGCCTTGAACTTCAAGGCCCCCCACTGCAGCCACCCTCCCTCCCATCCCACCAAGGCCTGCGCAGCTAACTGGCTCTCAGCCCCCTCCCCCAGCTCTTCCACAGCCCTTCTTCTGAGCTGGGCCATCCCCCATCCCTGGGCTTCCTGTCTTGGCTCAGTCAAGAGCTTGACCAAGGAAGAGGGTGAGTGATTCCATGTCTTTCCTAAGGCCCAGCCCACTCTTGCCACTCAGAGTTTAGGTTCTCCCAACTGCCCTTGGGACTTTCTGTAGGCAGGGCTATGGTCCCCCTACCCAGAGGCCCTTTCCTTAGTTTCCCCCTGCTCCCAGCGCATCACTGGCAACACTGCTGGTCAAGATACCAAGGTCTGGAAGGAGGGGGTGGAACTGGAGCCGTCTCCCCTGGGAGCCTGAAACCCTGCCTGGTCTGTGAAGCTGAGCCTGCAGCCAGGCACAACCCAGTCTGGCTGCAGCACTCACCCTGCCGCTGGCCAAGTGAGGATACTACCCAGAACTTCCAGTTTTGCAGTGTTCTGGTCCGGACATAATCATCAAACATGTCTCGCATCTGGTCAAAACGCTGGTGTGTGATGGGCACCCCAGTAGCTGGCAGCTGCTGCTGGCACAGGCTGGGGACAGGGGGAGGGTCAGGGGCTGAGAGTCAGGCAACAGGCCCCCCTTGCCCCAGCACCTGCAGGCTCCTGATTACTTAATGGCAGCATTGAGCTCCTCAATCTGGTCCCGTAGCTGCTGGGCCTCCTCCTGCAAGGCCGCCCGCTCCTGCTGCAGCACGGTGATGTACTCAGCTGTCTTCTGCAGGGTGGTTGCTTTACTGACCTGTGGGCATTGCCAGTGTGGGCTCAGGTGCTGGGACCCACTGAGCTGCTTGGGGGTGGGAGGAGGCAACTGGATATCTAGAGAGTCCTGGGATTTTGGGATTTAGTTTTAGGTAGGGGGTCCATGAGGGACCCTGTGGCTCTGGATGTGCCAGCCTGGGTTGGGGGCTCACCTTGAGGCTGGGCTGGGTGCTGAGCGTGCTCACCAGCCCATGCAGGGTATCAAACCCCAACTTGATATTGAAGCGCCGCTTCTGCTCTGCAGAGATGTGTGTGATGCGGCGGTTCTCAATCTTGGGGGTGCAGAAAGTGGGATGAGCCTAGGAAGGAGTGTGGGAGCACTTAGGGGTAGCAAAGAGATACTAGGGTGCAGGGAGAGTGCCACCTTGTTGTCTGGACGGCCCCTGCTTAGGGCAGGTTGAGGAGTAGAGACTCGAACCCTCAGGGTCCCTGGGCCCGGGATGGAGCTCAGCTCCCCAGACAGTCGCCGTTCACCACCTGTGGCAGAGACAGACAGACCCACAGACAGACCCACAGAGGGGAGAGGGTCCAATTGATCTGTCCCTCTCGTCGTGGCCCCAGACATAGTCCCCCCTCTTCTTTCCCCTCCCTCCAACCTCTAGTGTCCTCCAATCCCTGCAACCCCTCTTTACCGCTGGGTGCTGGGGGTGACAGCCGCTCTACTTTGGGGACAACCAAGGGCCTGGGAGGGGCCAGTGTGGCTTGGCCCAGAGGTGGCCGGGGTGGTGTGGGGGCCGGAGTCAGGGGAAAGAAGGTGCAGGGGAATTCAGGGACCGTCTCCTGCTGGGGTGGAGAAGGGCGGAGAGTTGGGGTGAAGCTCCGAGGCTACCCCCCACTCCCACTGCACGCCATCTTACCGGGGATTCTGGGGGCCGCAGGAGGGCGCTGGACACAAGAGGCGGCTCCAGGGCTTGCTCAGGCTTGGCTGTGCACAGGCAGGCTGTGAGGGCCTCTCGGGGTCATCTCCCAAGATCCCCTCTCTCCATTCCTGGTAGCCCACACCCCATTCGGGTTCAGGGCCCACGTCCTAAATTCCTCACCACCCTGTCCCCAGCTGAGCCTGCCCCTTAACCTTCACCCTCTGCACCCACAGGTTTCCCACTTCCACATTCACTTCTCATCTCTCCCTCTGTCAACCCTGCCCCTCCTATCTCACCTGCTGTGAGCAGCTGCGGGAGGCAGGAGCTGTGGCCCCGGGCAGTGCCAGGGGCCAAGGTGGGAGGGCTGGGCTTCCGCCCCCTAAGGGGTGGGGTGGGGGGCTTGCTTCTGGGCTGCACGTCTTGGGGCACTGTGAAGTGAGGCCCAAATGGGGGCTCTGGATACCCGGAGGATAGAAGGTCCATGGGGAAGTGGGAGGGGACAGGGCCTGGGCCAGGCTGTCGGGTGGAAGGGAAGGTTGTAGGAGCCGGCAGCGGAGACACTCCTGATGCAGGAGGGACAGCAGGGAAGGAGAATTTGGGAGAGAAGAGAGTTTCTTCTTGCAGCACAGCAGGGGGCAGAGCCATGGAAGGGAAGAGGGGTAGGGGACAGGGCTCAAGGCCAGGACCTTTGGCAGGGCCAGGGTATTGGAGGAGGGGTGGGGATGTGGGACAGGGTGGGAGCTTAGACTTGGGATCTTCAGAAAGGAGGAAATCAGAGCTCTGGAAGGCACTGGAGTCCAGGGAGCCAGGGCCGCTGCTCCGAGCCTGGTTGGGGGAACAGAGAGCAAGGGAGAAAACTCGCCTTTATAGCCACCCAGGCAGCCTCCTGCCCTGGCTGAGCTCTGGTCTGGGCACTGGGAGAGATAAGAGAAATGATTCCTGCCTTTTAACACATACAACAGGGAAATTATAATCTGCTGAGGAGAGGTAGTAGAATACGTTTATGTACAAATTAGACATGAGAAAAAGTACTAATCTTCCTGCCCACTCATTTATTCACCAAATAATTTACCCATCCATGCTTCCTTCCATCCATCCATCCATCTATCTATCCATCCACCTATTTATTCTCTCACCTATGAGCTAGCTCATCTGTCTTTCCACCAGTCCACCAGGTACTAACCCAGTCACCAATCCACCCAATTATATACTTCCGTCATTCATCCACCATACACTGACCAGCCACTTATCCACCCACTAGCCCATTCATTGATCCACCAAACTATTCATTCATCTATGAATTCACTCATCAACCCATTCACCCCCCCAACCAACCACTCACCCACCTATATATACACCAACTCATTTAAGCATCTAGCCCCATCTATAACCCACCTCTCCATTCACCAACACACCCATCCATCCATGTACTCATTCATTCGTTCACATGCTCAATCACTGGGCAATCATTTACCCGGTGCTGTTGGTGTGTTTGAACAGTGCTAAGCATGGAAGATGCAATGGTGAGCAAAACACAGCCCTTCCAGCAAGGAGCTCACTTTTTAGTCCTTTAGAAGGAACTCTTGACAATAACTGCAAAGTCTAATAATGGAGGGAAAGGCATCTAACCTAGCAGCAGGGAGACAACATCCAAATTGGGTCTGGGAGTTCTTGAGCCAAAATGGTAGATTCACTGTTTCCTAAAAACATATGCTCCGTTTGCTGCCTCCATGCACTTGTTTGAGCTTCTCCTCTCATCTGACTTGCCCTTTACTGGTCTCTTCTGTCCAAACCGGACCTGTACACTAAGGCCCAGAACTCCCCCTCCTCCAGAAAGCCTTCCACAAGCACCCCGGCCCTTCATAGTGCTGCTCCATGCTCTCCCTGCCCTCAGCCTAACTCCCCCACAGCCACCGTGTCAGTTCCGCTTCACGAGGGTCTTTCTTCCTAGGCTCCCCCTCCAGTCCCACTCGGCGTACCAAGCGAGCACAGGACTGGGTACTCAGAAAGCATCCAGAATACTTCCTGGACATAAGCAGGTGAGCTGGGTAGGGCTGGGTGGGGCGGGGGGAGCTCACCTGCAGGCGGTTATGCTCTGAGAGGTGGGTCATACCCGAGGAGGCAGGGGGCACCTCTGAGCCCAGGACCCCACTGCTGAATAGGGAGTCAGCCATGGGACTGAAGCTGGGAGGCTCCAGGAAGTTTGAAGGCGCGGCTGTCTGTGGGGGGCGGTAGCTGTTGAAGAAATCTGTAATTCAGACACACAGGGTGGCAGTAGTTAGGGCTAAGGCCATGGCTGGAAGCTGTGGGAGGAGAGCAGGCCTCGTGCCCTGTCCCCAGGCTGGGCCAGGGAGGGGGGGCTTCCACAGGAGATTGTGAAACTGGGAGAGTTTCTGTCTCACTCAGGGGAAGCAGCAACATAGGCTCGGGTGGGACGGCCCTGAGTGGGAGACAGCAGGGGACTGTATAGGGGTGTGGGTAGGACTCCAGAAGTAGCCCTCCCACCGAGCCGCACACTTGGCTCATGAGGCCCCCCATCCCCATCCCCAGGCCTGGGCCCTCCCCTCGTCTGCTCCTGTTACCCGCCCTGCTGGGGACCTAGAAGTGGGGGAAGGTAATAGAGTATGCCAGGGAGGGAAAGGGGTGAGGTCCAAGGGAGGAGCCCCAGGGTGACAGGAGTTCAAGGGGTGAATTAGGGGTGAGAGGAGTCAGGAGGTCAGTGGGCCTGTGGGATAAGTTGGTTTGCGGAAGGTCAACAATCGGAGCGCCCATGGTAGAATCCAGGACCGGGGTGAAGGAGCTAAGGGGATGAAAGCAGGGGTCAGAGGGTGGGCTCAGAGTGGGGCTGGAGGGAGGGGGTTCTGGAAAGCTGGGAAGAGTTGGGGGGGGGGGGCGGCAGCCAGATTGTTTGAGGTACAGATTGTGTAAACCCCGGGCTATTCTGGTTTTGGGAAGCAGCTGCCTGTGGCCTAACCACATCCCGGGCCTGGGCGCCACCCGCCCGCCCGCTCCCTTCCGGGCACCTTTCTCGACCCTGACCAGCTTTCAGTCTGTACCAGCTCCCAAGGCCTCCTAGTCTGGTCAGACCTAACCCCACCAGCCTTGATGGGCCCCAGACCCCCAGCCAAGGGAGCTGGTAAGGCCTCTCCTTGGAGGGCCCCCTCAAAGGAGACCAAGAGTGGGACAGAAAAGACCACACCAAACCTTGAGCCTGATGGAGGTCAAAGCTACATGTACACCCTATGTGACTCTGGGGCCCACCTGTCACTGGGCAGCCAACTCTGCATGTCAGTGTGTGGTCTTAAGTGGCACATGTCTGTCTGCCTCCCTGTCTGTCCCACTGTCTGTAGCTCTAAGTCTGTGTGCACCTGCCCGAACGTGAGGTGCTGGGCGTGTGCACGCCTGCCCTGTGCCCACCTCTGTGTGTGTGTGTGTGTGTGTGTGTGTGTTTCCTTGGCCACACAGTCATAAGGGACCTTCTTGATGTCCTGCTGCCTCCTTTTAACAAAGGGGCTGGTGGAAGAGGGTGAGCAGTTACGGATCCTCCCTTCCCCAGCCCCCAGGGACCATGGGTCTCCTCACTAGGTCCCTTGAAGCCTGGGCTCTAGAACCAGCCTTGTCCTGCACCTGGTCCCAGGATGCTGAGGGCCACAGAGCAGCCCCCTGCTCGCTGCTGTTACTGTCTCCCCAGGGCTTGGCAGGCCTTATGGAGCAGCAAGCCCAAGTCATCACTGAGTCACCACCATCCCCTTATCTGAGATTGTGGATGTGTCCCCACCCGGCCCTGAGAGAAGCTGCTTCCTAGCCCTGGCCACCTACGGAGTCTTTCCCTAGTCTCTGTCCCCTCCATTGGCCTACCGTCCTCTCCCTGAGCCCTTCTCTTACCCAAGTTCTCTCCCCTCTGAGCACCCCTCACCAAGCCCCTTACCCCTCACTGAACCCTCCCTGCACCAGCCCCCTCACTGGGTTTCCTTTCAAGTGAGAAGCTCTTCAGGACCATCAAAGAGGCAGCCCCGGCAGCCCTAGGGCTCCATGGAGCACCAGAGGGGCCACACTAGCCATCTCTTCTGCGTGCCGCCCCCCACAACACTTTGCCCATACTCGCCCCCCACCCCAGCAGTCACCCCTGGCTGAGAGAAGTCACTTCCTAGCCCCAGGTTTTGCCCAGATCCCAGAGCGGGGGTGGTTGAGTGCCTACCTGTGGCAGGGGTCTGTGTGCCCACACAGGGCCGCTGCCCTCCCAGGCTGGTCTGCTCCCAGGGCACTGCCATCAACACTTCTGCCCCCTCAGCCCCCACCCCTGTCCAGGGCTGAGGCAGGGGTGGGGGTGGTTCCTCATTCCCTAGTCCCCGCCCCATAGGCCTCCACCTCTTGACTGACAGGCCCAGGACCCTGTGGGGAAGGAGCGAAGGGGTCACTGAAACTAAGCTTCTATCCCAGGAACCCCGTTTCTGCTCCTAGTCCTTGGCTGAGCCCTGATGTCCACATGATCCCTAGAATGGCTATGAAGTCCCCTAAGTGTGTGAATATCAGGGGCAGTCTTCAAGATCTACAGCTATGCGAAGAAAGCAACAAGGGAAAGTCTACTACAGGAAAAAAGCAGACATTTGTCCATGCATGCTAATTTTACACAGACATGAGCATCTCTGGAAGGACATAATCCTGTGACCTGGTGGCCCTGGGGTCAGAGGAAGGAGGCAGGGGAACATACTAAAAATGCTTTACCAGATATAATTCCTGGGATTTTCTTAAAAATAAAATAGAAGGGGCGGGGGGAATGGGTGATGGCCAGATAAAACAAGACTGGCCAAGAGCTGATAAATGTTGAAGTTGGTGATGGTTACATGAGGGTTCATTGAACTTTCTCTCTATTTTTTGTGTATGTTCGAAATGTTCTTTAATAAATAGGTTTTTTAAAAAAATGAATGATGTAAATAAACAGACCCAAACAAATCACAGCCCCTCTCCCCCTGAGAGAGTGCCAACATCCACTGCTTTCCTGGGAGCTCCCAGAGTCTGAAGCCTCAATGACCCTTGTCCCCTGTTCCCTGCCCAGGTACTGGGCCTGGGCCTGCTCTCACCTGAGGCTACACCAGCTTCATCCCAAGGCCAGACAAAGGGACACCAGGAAATTCCCTCAGAAGTCACCCGGACCATCCGCTCTCCCAGAGGGGCATGGAACTGGCCTAAGGTCAACACGGGGCTCTCCTCACACTGACCCTGCCCTTAAGCCCCAGGGGAGAGGCCTGCCCCACCTGGGATCTCCATAAAGTCATCCAGGCTGGGCTGCAGAGGTGTCAGTTCCGGCTGGATCATGTCAGCATTGCCAGCGTAAGCTGGAGGGGGCAGTGGTGACATCAGGAGCAGCAGGAGGGTGGAATGGGAGCGCCCATCCTGGGCCACCCTCCCTTCACTGCCTGATTCGCACAGGCCTCCTTTCCCGGGCAGAGGCCTCACCGTCCTCAGGGGGCAGCTGCAGGGGCGTGGAGCTGGGCTGAGTCATGGTGAAGAGCGTGTCGGAGATGTCCGACAAAAAGCAACCGAGGTCCAGAAGCTGCCGCCCACCGGGCTCCTCCGCTGGGCCCCCCAGCAGCACAGGCACCATGCTGGAGAAGAGCTGCTCAGACCATCGCTCAGGTGGCTGCCACCCCCCTTCCGCCTAAGGAGACAGAGGTGGCAGTAGCAGCCTGAGGGCTCCACTGCTTCCGCTTCTCCTCAGACTGGGGACACGGGGGTCGCCCATTGCCCCTGGCCTTTCCATATCATCCCCTGCCTGGGGGATGATGTGGTCAACCAGCTAGAAGGCCATTCTTTGCAGTCCCCCCTCACCTCTCCCTGGTAGATCCAGTTTGCTGCCTGGAAAGCTAGGATCACCCCATTGGCCTCTAACAACTACCCACAGGGGATAGACCGGGAGGGCTGCTGAGGAGATAAGGGTATTCCTCTGCCTCCTGTACTTTTTCTTGCCAGGGGCCTGGTTTTTAGGACCCTTTATTCCTCCATGCATCCCCTCCATTTGCTCAGTCAACCAGAAGGCTTAGGGTCCTCCCAACACTACTCCAAGGGGAGAAGGGCTCAATTAATAAACCAGAGGACTGGGGGTCATATCCACTCCCCTCATGTCACACCCTCCCATCCTGCCGCCCTTCGCCACTGCTTTGCCTGCAGAGGGAAGCTATCATTCTCTGGCTCCAGGGAGCACCCACCTGCTTTGGGGCCAGGAGATTCCCTTCCCTGCTGGACTTACGGAGCTGCAGGAACACAGAGACATGAACACCGGATCCCCTGCCCCTCCTCCACCACACCTCTCCAAGGCCTCCCCTACTTACAAGCTCCCCCAAATCAACAGGATCCCCCACTTCCCTTCAGGAGCTCCTCCGCCCCGAGAAGTAAGGAGGCCGCAAGAATACCCTACGGCCACACGGTGGCGCAGTCAGCCTGGGTCTTAATAGAGGGCTGGGTCGGCGGTTGAGGGAGCCCCTCCAGAGGTCTTCCAAGGGAAGCAGTGGCCAAACTCTGGCGGGGGGGAAAGGTCTTGCAGTTCCCTGGGGCCCCCACTGACCCGTTTCTTGTAGTAGATGCGCCATTTGTGGTACTCGCGCATCACCACCTCGATGCGCCGCTTCCAGTAATTTCCCTCCAGGATGACGGCCTGCAGAAGGCCGGGAGGAAGCTCAGTGCGAAGGGTAGCACTGACCTCACTGCTCCTCACTCAGTCCCCATTTGGGCCGGCTCCTCCGGCCCCGTGCGGGGAGGGACTGGAGGAAGGAATTGGGTTTGGTGAGAAGGCAGATGGGCTGTGGTCCCGGGAGTCTCAGTTACCTCTGGTTTCCGGTGCACGTCAGCCTCTGGCCCCTGCAGGGGGGTCACGAAGCCACACACGGGGCTCTTCCTCCTCTCCACATCTGAAAGAAGGGGGACAGGTCAGAGGTGTCCAGTTCCCTCTTCCTTCACCCCAAGGGGACTGGGACTCAAGTGCCACACTACGGAATCCTGCCTGGCCTTCAATGCTCAGATTAAGTGCCACCTCCTCCAGGAGGTCTTCCTGCTTTCTCTAGTGCTACCAAATTTTCCCCTTCTATGCAACCCTGTGAAACTAACCCAGTCTAGTAAGTGTGAAAGCAATGCTTGCTGAGTGGGATTGGGGCCACAGGGCGGGAGCTGCCCCAAGAACATCCTGGTTGGACTGGCAGGCCAAGGACCCAGAGCCCTTGGTCCCCTGCCTCAGGTTTCTTGGCACTGCCCGCTCTGATCTCAGAGAACCACGCCTTGCCCACTGCAGGCCACGTACCTGAGCCCCATTGTCACTTTCTCCACTCCCTTCCCTGCCTCTAATCCTGGTTTCCCTCCAGGCTCTTTCCTTTGTGCCTGTAAACACATTCTCCTTTACCTCCCAAACTTGCCCTTCCCTATGCTACCCAACAAGCTAAACCTTTCGCTTTCCCCTTGGCTTTTCCTCCAAACTCTAGAAGGGCTGTGCTTGCCACCTCCACTTCTCCAGCCTCCCAATCTCACCTTCACCTCCTGTAACACAGCACCTGCCCCCATGCCCGCCTCCCAACCACTCCCATCCTACCCCCTTCCAGTTTCAGACCCATTTCCCCGTTGCCTATGGATCATCCACTAGGATGTCCCAAAACTTGTCACTCTCAGGTGTTGGGAAATTCTTTCCCCAGCGCATGCGTCCTCTGGGCTTCCAGCACTGCCTCTCAGTCACTGAAACTCCCCCCACCCCGATTCCCAGATTCCTGTCTAATCCATGGACTAACCTTCTTAATCCCAAGGATGTGTGACATTTCTTCCAGTGCCCCCTCCCCTCTGTATTCTCACTGTCACTTCCTAGCCTGGTGTCATTTCTTACCTTGACCTCTCTGACTCCAGTCTCACACTCTGAGGCCCATCTTCCTGCTACAGCCAGGTCAGTTCTTCCTAAAGCGCAGTTCAGGCCCGAATCCCTCCAGGGCTCCCTAAACCTCCATAATAAAGTCCACACCCCTGAGCTTGGCTTTCCATCCCTCCCTGACTAGTCCCATTGCTTCTCCTGCCGTTCTGTCTCCTTCATATGCCCTACTTTGAAGCCAGACAGCTCCCCAACACAGCCCACCCTCTGTTCTTTTTCTGCCTCGTGCTCACCCCCCAACCTGCCAGGACAGCCCAGAGCAGCTACTCTTCTAGAAGTCTTAACCCCTCTGAAACCCCCTGGTCATGTCTGCCTCAACCTCCACCTGCCTTGGCCATTTTTCTGCATGCTGGCCTCCCTGCCAGGAGTGACTTGTACCCTGTTGTCCAGAATCCTTGCATCCGGCACAGAGTTTGATACAGAGCAGGCCTTCAAAGGCCTGGACAATGACTTTTTCTGGCAGCCTTGACAAAAAGGACTTCGGGGGTGTCCCTGGCAGCCCCTCCTGCTGACACCCTCAGCAAACTTCCTCTGGGACAATTGACACAGAGGAGTAGGACTACCCGAACATGAAATTTCTTGGGACTTCAACATCATTTACAAAGTTCTGTCTTAAAGGTCATTCTCCAAAATGATCTCTACGAGCCTGGAGAGGGTTGCTGAGCCTTACAGGGACGGAAAACAAATGGAGAGGTCCGTAGGTGCACGGACTCCCAAGGCGGAGAGTTAAGTCTCTCAAAGAGCATCTGCCCCGGCTTTCCAGATGAGGAAATGAGTACAAGGAAAGAGAAAGTTTGCCCAAGGGTCCCGGAGAGTCCGGGCTGAGCAGGCCTGGCCCACTTGCCCCTCTCCCCACCATGCAGGGGCACTATACTCCCCACAAAAGGACGCGCTTTATTAACTATGAGAAATCCATCCATTCATGCTGCAACCTAGCCCTCGCACCTGTGCTGGCATAGATGCTGGGACAGAATCCACGGATGACTCGGCGCTCAGCTGAGGGGTCAAGGTGAGGAAAGCACACACATAATGTGCTACTATCAGGTGGAGAGTCTGCCATGAAAGGGGCACAGTGCTCTGGCAACTCAGAGGAAACTGAGACGATTTGGGAGAAAAGAAGGGGTACTGGAGGCCAGGAGCCTGCAGAGGAGTGGCAGATGGACGGGTGCGCCAGGCCACGCCTCTCCCTTTTCTGAAGCCCACCTCCAGGCCTTGGGTGCTCAGGAAGGAGGAGGAGCCTAGACACTTGTTCTCTGCCTGCCCCTTCTCTCGCTATTATCACAATAGCAGCCATAGACCACAGGGCTCACCCTCAGGGAGCCCTTGTGTGTGTCTGCCTGGCCCTGAGAGGTGATCACACTGAGAACTCATAGCAGACCTCAGTAGCAGGATCTATTGTTATATCCAATTTACCAATGAGTAAACTTCAACTAGGGGAGGCTGAAAGTCCACATAGTTAGGGCATACGAGAACTTGACTCAAACCCAACTCTGTCTGACTCAGAACCTGAGGTCCTTTCAGCAACTTGTACAACAACTAGCAATCAGTCTGCCTGGGTGAGGACCCCGGGTTTGCATCGCCTCCCGCTTTGCAGGGAAAGGGGGCAGACAATGACACTGACTGCCCTGGCCTATCGGCTTCCCGGTTTGGGCAGGCCAGTTTCCAGGTGAGGACTGGGAGCCAGCCTCAGGGTCCAGTGAAAGGTGCGCTGGGTCCAGAGTGGGAGAGCCCTGGACTTCCCAGCCACAGCTCTGCTACTTTAATGCTCCGTGACCCTGAACAAGTCATTTGCCTTCTTGGCCTCACTTGCTCATCTATAAAATGGGGTTAATAATACCTATCTCCCAGGGTTGCTAGGAAGCCTCAAACAAGACGATTTATGAAAGTGCTAGACACATAGATGAATAGAAACTAAAAATACTCCCTCTCTCAGCTTAGGTGTAATCTAGTGGGGCCAGTACAGAGAATACCGTGTGTGGTCTCTCCTGGGCTGTGTGTTTCCAGCTCAGGTAGCCTTTGATCCTGCAGCCAGCCCTAAGCTTGACAAGGCCCCAACGCAGGGCCAACTAGTCTGATGCCTCTCAGCCTCTGCTGCCTTCCCAGCGGGCAAGGTGGGGAGGTCTTATATCCCCAAATGAATGACCGTGACCTTCTCAGAGGTACTTGAGATTCAACAATCATTTATTGAGCACTTTGTGCCAGGCCTATTCATACCTATTATTTCCACATTAACCATGAAAAGTAGTACTATTGGCCTCATTTTATAGGTGAGGAAATAGGTTCAGAGAGGTTAGACAACTTGCCTGCCATCACAAGCCAAACAAGAGGGGTGGGAAAACAGCCCTGCGTAACTCCAAGTCTGTAGTCCCTTCCGCTCTACCACACGACCTCTCTGGGCTCCCTCCAGCAAAACCTCCATGGGGGACACTTGATGGGGGCTCAGTAAGTACTTTAATGAAAGGCTAGAAGAGACCATTGCAGGATCCTCAGTTTCCCCATATGCAAAGTGACGGAATTGGCCCAGATAGTGTCTAACACCTCTTTCTAACACTAATGGCATGAAGAATGAGCCTTGAACTGTTCACCAAATCTCAGCTCACCAAGGGGTGACCCCTGTTGTGCCCAGCTTCACATCGGAGAGCACTCTTACAGATACCTTCCCCAAGACTCTCTGGGGGTCCGAAGCTGTCAGGGGTGCCGGCGATGGGGGCTTGGTCTCTCCCAAAGCACTCTGTTGGTGCTAGCTGGGGATTCCTGAGCAGCCATCCCCCAACCCCCCGCCCGGCCCGGGGCCCTACAGTAGCCCTTCTGCTGGGAACGCCCACGGCACCCACTCACACTGGGTATACCAGGCCCTCCAGATGGCGTTGTTGAGGCGGATCTTGTCTCGGCAGAGCAGCTTGAGACCTTTGAAATTCTTCCACTTGGGAGACACCAGCTTACCACTGTTAGAGGGAGAGGGCTGGGTCAGGGGGGTGGTAGAGAAAGGGGAAGGTTGAAGGGGGCTTCTGCAGGGGCTGGCTCTGCACCCTTCTCATGCATAGGCACTCATCTATGGTGGGCAATTTGAGGGATCCTCTCAAATCTTGCCCCTCATTCTAACCTGCCCGAAATTCCTTCCTTGAAAGCCAGACCTTTAAAATACCCTCCCAGGTCCCCCCTAGGGGCCCTTGTGTTCTTTGGTGAGACTTGCTTGTCGATCTACTACCAGAACTAAAGCCCGGGCTCCAACCTATTTATCAGCTTAGTCCTCAAAATAATACCCAATGGTCTTCAGGTAACTGTCTTGTAGGCCAGCTAGGGTAGGTTCTGAGATTCATTTCTTACTGAAGGGAATGAGGATCAGGAAGGGAAAGGGACATGCCTAAGATCACATGGCAGAGACCACTCAGGCTTTTTTCCCCCAGTCTTGGTGGCCTTCTCAGGGCCAGAGGATGGGTAAGGTTTGCCTGGGTGGAGAGGAAGCCTCTTCACCAGAGGTAACCTCCAAGCAGCCAGTTACTGCTTTTTCATGGCCCTTCTGGTATCTGCCCAGCCCAGAATCCAGAAGGGCAACCTGGACTGTGCTGGAAAGTGCGCCCCTTCTCAGGGGTGAGCCCAAGACAATACTATGAGGACCCAAAGGAAGGTAGCTAGGATGGTGGAGTGGTGAGCAATGGGGACACAGCACGCTGAGCCTATCAGCCCTAGCAGTCAGTCAGATCCATGAGAAGAAGGGCTCTACACAGGTGAGGGGCTTCACTCTCAGGATCCTGCTAGGCACAGGCCAAGTCTGCCACCACCAGGGAGCTGACCTAGTAGGTTAGGATGTTCAGGGACTTAGACCCCTGCTTGCCCCTCCCTCCTCATGGTCTACAAGACAGGGTTGTATACCAGCCCCCTCTGGCCCACCTTCTCCAACTCTTATGCACGTTGAAGACTGAGGCCTCAAGGCTTCGTCTTTCAGAACACTAGGCCAGCTCTCTCTAGGGGCCTCTCCCTCATCCCGTGGGTAAAGGGTGGGTGGGTGGCAGTCTGACTCTTACAGCCCCTTGGGTGCATAGATCTCTGGGTCCCTTCTCTTCTTTGGTCTCCAAGCTCCTGGGCACAGCAGGCCCCATTACCCAAATAGAGTACGTAGCTTAAGTGCACAGGCCTGCTGACTGGCCTCCTCTCTCTTAAGTTAGATAAACACCATCTGTCTGGAAAAGTAGTGAGGGAGGCACTTTTCACATCTCCTGGGCAGTTTCTTTTGTAGCACCTGGGTGGTGGTTGGGGAGGGAGGCAGCCTCCTGAGTTTATCGCCCCTGCCTGTATCCCAGCAACCTTCCAACCCACTCGGATCACCCAGTGCCCCACCCCCAGCTTGTCTGCCCTTCCTCTTCCTGAGGTTTTAGTGCTTGTGGCCTGGTAGGGCTAGGGGAGATGGGACAGTGACAACGTCCAAGCCCAGGAGGAAAGGTCTGTGCTGGACCTGTTGGCTAGGAGGGAAGGAGAGGGGCCAAACCTGGAACAAAAAGCCTGAGGCCAGGGTTCAAGGATTTCGTCTGACCAGTAGAAAACCTGAGAGTCTTGGGGACAGGAGGGGGGTAACTCAGAACTGGTAGTGCAGTTCCTCCTTCCCCCACACGTATCTACCTTCTAGCAATTCCCTGAGAGTCTCCTTGACAGGGTCCTACTTACTCCCCCACTTCCCTGAGGCCATTCTTTCCATAGCTCTGATTATAGCTCTGGCCAGCTCTGACCATGAATAAGCGTGTTCTTGGAACTTCCAGAACCTGCCTCCCTGGGGCTTCCACCCACAGAACCATGGAACATGGGGTTCTTCCTAGAAAAGAAACCCTTCCTGTGCCCACACCGCCCTGCCGATGCTGCAAGCTGGCCAGGCATCTGCCCGCTGTCCTCCGGGTCAAGCTGGCCAGTTCCTCCCAGCACCTCTGGTCCCCCGCCTTGCCGTCCCTTCTCATCCACTCGCTCTCTTGGGACATCCTAGAGATTGCTTCCACAATCCTTTCTCTTCCAGGGAACCCCTGTTATTAGGGGCCTGAAGGGCTAAACCATTTCCCCAGTCTGAGGCTCAGTTTTTTTCTCTATCAGATGCGGGGACGCAAAGGCTCCTCTGGTACTAAGCCACCTCCATCCCTGGAGCAGGCCAGAGGGAGTGAATATTCTGAGTGTTCAGGGGAAAAGCACAGCCCCCTCCATCCCAGCTGCCCCTGACTAGGGTCACACCACTTCCTCTGAGCCTCATAGTGGGAGCAGTTCTTGGAATGTGCTCTGCCCCCTACCTTGCCTCCTGGCCTGAGGCTTCCCTTTCAGACACCTATGGCCTGGGGTAGGGTTGAGAGGTGCGCATTAGCCAGCCCAGGTAGAGAAGTGTGTGGTATAAAGCGAGAAGCTGAAGTCGAGAGTGGGTGGGAAATTGGGCGCCTTAAGAAGGAGGGGTGCCCGCACTCAGTGTCCCAGGACCTTAAATGCCCTGCTCCGGCAGCCTGCTATGGGCGGGCGTGGGGGAGGGAGGGGGGGCGGTATGGGAATTTGAACTTTCCACATTGGTCTGGCGCCTCAGACGGTCAGGTTGCAACAAGACCTGGGCCCGGGGCCAGAGCTTAAGGGCCAAGGTTACATAGCCTCCAGCCAATGGGGTCGTCGCTGGGCTGCCGCTGTTGGGGGTGGGCAACACGCCCCCGCAATCCCCATCCCAGTTCCGGCTCTCCGTCAGAGCAGCAAGCGCCGCGCTGTTGACAACAGTTCTCTGAAGAGGAGTGCCGCGGAGGAAAAGGAATATTTGCAGAGAAAAGATCAAGGACGAGCGATCCCCCCTTAATCCCCAGCGGGTTCCGGTTGATAATTTATCCTGGTCCCTCAGCTCCGGGGACCTTTGCTCCAGGGCATTGGGCCAGGACCCAGGTTCGCACCCTCCCCTGGGACGCAGGCGTGGAGCTGGAGCCAGGCGACCGCGCGCTCTGCGTTGCGCCAAGCCGGAGTTCCAGGCAGTATTAGGCGCTCAGCCTCCCGCAGCGACTGGGGTAGGCGAGCCCAGGCCTCCCGGGCGCCAGCCCCTCACGGCCTGCAGCACCCCCTGCCCGGAGACGGCTGAGAGCCTCTGCAAGATAGGCCCCCCTGGGGAATCCTCTTCCTGCCACCGTCGACCTGGCAGGTCAAAAACTGCTGTCCCGGCATTTGGGGGATGGGGGGCGGGGGGCGGGGCGGGTTGCAGAACGAGAGACTGGATTTCGATCGACGGTTGGCTACGAACTGGGATAACCGTTGGGCTTGAGGAGTATTTCGAGGGCGCAGAAATAGAGGGGGCATGGGCTGGGGCTGCTGGGGAACGAGTGGAAGGCTGCAGGTGATCGGGTAGAGTGGGCTGAGGTGGTGGTGGTGGGGTGACAGGATGGTCTGGGGTCCTGGGAGCGCAAGGGAAGCCCTGGCACTTCTTTGCGGGCAAAGGAGTGGGGATGGGGAGGAGGCCCCCCTAGGGCCTATGGAGGTCGAGGTGGAGGGCAAGCAGTCTGCGCCCTGGGGAGAGTGATAGTCGTGAAGGTGGGAACCAGAAGGTGCGCAGGCCCATTGGGGATCAGCAGGCTGGGCCAGGGTCAGAGGGCGCTCGGGGCAGCAGAAGGGGGTGTGCAAGATGTGGCCGGAGTCTCCGAGAGCAGCCGGGGACCAAGGCTCGGGGCGGGTGGGGTGTCCGGGGCCCCAGCGCGCGGTCCCGCCGTGGAGGGCCGAGGCCGTCGGGCCCAGGAGCCGCCCTCACCTGTAGGCCAGGCTCATGCACTCGAAGAGGCGGGTGAGTGTGGGGTCGATGCTGCGCGGCCCGAAGTCTGCGAGCCCCACGGGCCCCTCCTGGTCGCACCGCCGGGTCAGCGTGTCGCTGTGCGGCGACGACACCATGAAGTGACCGCTGTGGATGACCTGCGAGCGGACCAATCCGCCGGCGCTGCGGCGGGTACTCGGGTCCTCCGAGTCTGTGTCTGAGTCCGAGTCCGGGCTGGGGCCGACCCTTGGGCCCTGCAAGCCCGCGGCCAGACCTGCCAGTGCCCCGGCCATGGCCATCGCTGCTGCCACCTCTCTTAGGCTTGGTGGAGCCGCTGGGCCGCTACCTTGGCCCGACAGACCTCATTAGCATCGCCCGGCCCCTCTGTCGCAGTAGGTCGCTGGAGGAGGCGGGTCCGCGGAGCCTCCGCGCCGCGGAGCAGACAGACTTGGGCTTAAATTAACATAAAACACCACGTGGGAGCGTTCCGGGGCCCCTGAGAGGAGTAAGTCCCTATCTTCCCAAACGCCTTTCCTTCTGCTGTGGCCACTTAGAGTTTGGTAGAACCGCCCCTACTTCGCCCAAAAAAGGTCTCGGTATTCGATTATAAGTCATGCACACCTAAGCCTGAAAGCACTGTGGTGCCTGGGGTTCCAGCTCCCAGGGGCGCCTCCCCTGAAGCCCCTCAACAACTGCCTTCCTGCCCGCTCTGATCTTCTGCCGCACATTCACCCCCTTCCAGTCATCCACACAGCTGGAAGCACTCACCTCTCAGAAGTCTCCTGTGGCCTGGCCCATGGAAGGTCTCAGGACCCCCAGTCGCCCTTACAGTCATCACTACACAGAGCCTCAGAGGGTTTTTTTTTAACGTGGATCCTGCCAGGCCAAGCAGGGTCAGTACCAGTGGTGATGGGTGACAGCTCGCAAGGTGGAGCCTTGGTCACCTTCCCCTGGATATCCCCCAGGCAGGCCATCTGCGCAGGAGCTCTGGGCCCCCTCCTTTGGTCCACCCTGGGGTCCCCCTTACGTTCCAGTTTCTGACGCCCCTCTTCTCATTCTGAGGACACAAACTAGGCTCTTTGGTCTGAAGCATTCACGCCTGTCACCTCGCTGGCACCTTTAACAGCCCTCAGAGGTGGGGTTCTTGCCCCACTTTACAGGTGCACTGGAGTCCACAGAAGTAGAAAGATGCCCAAGGATCTGCAGAAGAAGAGCAGCAAAGCCCGGGCCAGAAGGTTTCCAGACTTCCTGCCTAGGGCTGTCCCTGGCGGGGGGCGGGGAGGGCTGAAGGCAAATGCTAACCCTCCTTGGCTTTGACCAGAATGTGGCCTACATGTGGTCACATAAATAAGGCATCCAGCTGGGGGCTGAATGCTTGGAAAAGGTTCCCACACAACACTTACGTCCATGGTAGGGTCACACAGCTCCCGCAATCAAATGGCGGTGTCCCGAGGGTCCCTGGCCTGGCTGAAATTGTTACCCAAGGCTGCTCACCAACTGGCTCTTTCACCCACCTGTGTCCCTTGGTGGGATACCCTCTGTCCCTGCCAAACTATCACCTCATGTTCCCAGGAGCCCCACCTGCTCTCCTCCACTTGTTCCTTGCTGTCCCCTGCAGGAGGTGTATTCTCCCTGCCCATCGCTGTCAAATCCTGGGGGGCCTTGGGTGCCCACCTCAGCCTGCCTCCTCTGGAGGGAGAGCCATCCCTCAGTGGCCCTTTTGGGATGCTTGGCACAGAGACAAACAGGGTCATTACTCTTTTGTTTAATATTTAAAAATTTTTTATTGTTCGGTTACAGCTGTCCCCATTTCCTCATTACTCTCCCCTGCACTACCCACCCCCCACTTTCCATTTTCAATCCTCTGCCCCCTCCCCGTTGTCTTTGTCCATGGGTCTTTTATACATGTTCCTTGACTTGACCCTTAGGGTCATTACTCTTTAGGTACCTATCTGGCTTCTTCCCTGGCTAGTGGGCCCTGAGGCAGGACTGTGTCCCAGGGTCCCTGAACCCCTACACTTGGTACTCAGGGGCTTGAGGAGTGCTTGGAGAAAGGCATGACACTAAGAAGAATGGGTGGTCACTGTGGTGGGACAGGAATTGAAAGTTGGGTCCCCTGGAATCTCCTAGTTTCAGGGGTCCTGGCTTAAGCTGAGGCTTAAACTGATCCATGCTCTGCCAGCAATTCCATGAATGACCCTGGGTAAATCTGTCTTTACTGGGGCTCTGTCTCTCTACCTGTAAACTGGGAAGTTGAATTCAGTGATTTCTCAGGATCCCACAACTTTCACCATCTGTGGCTCTAGGTCTCTGCTATCAACATCCGCAGCTCACCCCTCCAAGTTCCCCCAGGCCTCCTCTCCCCAGGAGAAAATCTCCCAGCTGAACCTCCTTCGGTTCAAGAAACCTTCCTCTGAACTGGGTCTCAGTAGGGTGGATTATCCCCCTCACCCTATGGCCTTCTGCTTCCCCAGCCGCTAGTTGGCCCCAACAGTCACTGCACCTCATTTCTGTCCTCCTCAGGGGCCTGATAACACCTTTGGAGCCCTAAGCCCTGAGAAGACCATCCCTGCTGGTGCATTTCAAAACAAAACACTAAAGTGTACAACACATGCAAGGAAGTCCACAGATTCTGATTTCTTCCATGACTACACTTCAATTAAAATGTTATACATGTGTGTATATATATATATATGTATATATATATATGAAATTAAGTTTTTCCCCCCAAAGTCAAAATGCTGGTGCTTTGAATATGTGCTTCATTTACCTTAGCTTCCTTTCCCCATCTTTTTTTTTTCTTTTTTTGGCCATTTAAGGAAGCATGCATTCCTCATTCCAGGCACTGTGTTCAACACTTTGAGCCATCGTCTCTAACCCTATTGCAGTAAGTAATATTGCCTCCATTTTACAGGTGAAGAAACAGGCTCAGAGAGGTGATACACCTGCTCCCCAGCTAAGAAAGGGCAGAACCAAGTCTGACTCTGAGGTCCAGTCTCCTTCATCTATGAGGCTGCAGCCCTCTGCTCTTGAAAATGGTTCTAGCCACAGTGCAACTGGAGAAGTCAAACCAGCTGGTGGTCTGAGGGGCCTGGAGCGCCTGGCAGTAGGCACAGCTGATTCACGGTGCTCTTGCCCAGCTGACAGTGTAGGTTTGTGTGAGCTGACCCAGCTCGCCTTCTTGCTCCCTTTCCCATTTGGCCTCTATCACCCACTGTTCTGTGTCTATAGCTTCTTACTAGATGAGTCCTGGTCATGGCCATGAAGATGCAGGACAAGGCCCTGACTGGGTTGTGAAAACCTGCTTGTCCTGGTGATCCTGCCTGACATCATACCCTGCCTGCCTGAGTCCCAGTCTTAGTTCTTAGGATTTGTCCCCGACACTGCCCTTCCATGTCGGGAAAGCTCACCCATCCTAGAAGTGCCACCTCCACTTCCCGCATCTTCCCCCAGTTTTCACAACACTTGCTCAGATATATCTCGAATTTCATCTGGCTCTGTGTTCACCATGAGTGGTGCACATACCTGCCTTTCCCACTAGAGGGCGAATTCACTGAGAGTAAAAACCACATCTATTTCTCTCTACAGACCCTTTTCCTCTCAAAGGCAAATATGCAAATGAGTATTTGCTGAATGAATGAGTTTATATTATATCAATCTACTCAGTTGTCCTATGTATCCATCCATACACACACAGATGACATTTATTAAGTGTACATTATGTGCCTGTCCCAGGGCAAGGTATTTCACTTTTTCAAAAGTTAAAAAGTATAGAAAAGCAAAGATTCAGAACTTTTAATACCCAAAGAAATAGAAAGTAAATTAGCAGTTGCCCAGGGTTGGGAGTAGTTGGGTGTGGAGAAATGGGGAGTGACTGCTAATGGGTATAGGCTTCTTTTAGGGGGATGGAAATGTGGGATTAGTGGCGATGGTTGTACGGCTTCGTGAATATCCTACGAGTGATTGAAAAGGGGTTAATTTTATACTGTGTGTATCGTTTCTCAGCAAAAAAATAGACACTTAAATACACAATTCCATTTGTTGGTAATCCTCTCAACTGTGTGTACATAGGTGTTAGTATTTTTAGTACTATTTTACAGACGGAGAAACCGAGGCTTTGACAGGTGAAGTGATCTAGTGGGTTGTTGTGAAAATTGACTGTAAATAGCTAATGTTTATGGAGCCTAACCAAACTGGTCTGTGGAATCTTCGTAACAGCCCCATGATTTTCAACCCTTTTTGTAGACAGGGAAACTGGCTTTGCTGAAAGTCTGAAGGTAAGAAGAGAGCTGAGATTCAAATCAGGCACACTAATGCCAGCCTTTCCCACAAGCACCTCCTGTCTTAAATTAAAAGGATTAGTGATCATTTGTGAGGAGGTGGAGCAAGCAGAACTTCATTCACTGCTGCAGCTAGCGTAACTTGGCACAATCACTGTGGAAAACTATTTGTCACTATCTAGAGCTGAATGTCCACACACCTTATGACCCAGCAATTCCACAGAAATGTGGATATATGTGCACCAAAAGACACATACAAGATGATTCTGAACAGAGTTATTAGCTTAATATTGGAAACAACCCAAAAGTCTATTAATAGGCAAGCGGATAAATACATTGAGGTACAGTCACACTACAGAATATTAACACAGCAATGAGGGTGAACACTCTACAACCAAATGAAACCATATGGATGAATCTCACTGACAATATGTTAAACAAAAGAAGCCTATTGTGGAAATGTACGTACTATATGATTGCATTTATATAAAACTCCAAAATAGGCTAATCTATGGTGTTAGGAGTCAGGGTTGTGTTCAGCTTGGGTAACTAGAAGGGATTAAGAAGGGGTTTTCTGGGGCACTGCTAACATTTTGTTTCTTTATCTGGGTTCAGGTTACATGAGTGTGTTCACTGCGAATACCTATGACGTGTGCACTTTTCATACGTATGCTATACAAACATCTTTTAAAAGAGAAACTGAGTTTGCACATGCATACATATCTATAATCAGGAAGCCTCATTAAAGCCTGCCTTGGCGGGGGAGGTGGGGATTGTTGAGTGAGTTGAGAAAGTAGAAGGCGGAGAGGTGGGTGAGAGTGAGAAAAGTCTTAGTTGTCTCTACCGGAGGCAAGTCGGGGAGTCATTTTCCCGGTCTGGGTCTCAGTTTCTGCGCTGATGAAATGGGCATATAAATCATGAAGGAAAAATGGATAAAAGTGACCACATTAAAGTGAGGAAGATGGATTGGATTAGTTTTCATGTCAGGAGTATCCATCCAATTGTTCTATCAAAAATATAG